GACTGATGCAAAGGCTATAAAAACTGTGTGTATCCAAAGATCTGTCCTACTAGGCAGCTGCGACTTCAACCACAGCTTCTGTTATCTAAGAGGACTCTTTATCAAACCGTAAGTAAAAGAACTTCCTTTGAATACCTGGATAGTAAGAGTGAATAAGGGGTTAATGATAGCCCTGAGCCCTGGGGGGGAAGGACTGCTTGCCTTTGTTTCTAGGAAAAGCCTGGTGGTGGCTTGGTGGGCGATGCTGAGATCACAGTGTGCTCTCACAGCACACAGACTCATTGCACCTTTCCTCATGTGGCCAATTTGTCCAGATTGATTGCCAGTGACCTTGTTACCTGTATGGGGCACTTGTGAGTCTGTGGTCTGGGAAAAATACTTGAACACTTCTATTTTAATGGAGTGTAGTCAGTATTGAGGTTCCAGTTCATTTCCACTTTCTTTTCATTACAACTACTTATTTCAGTGAGTTTTATTTACATATGTATTGCCTTATGTCATTTTCTACATTCTCTTCCCACATGTACTGATTCTAGCACTGAAGTTTCTTTGTGACCAAAATGAGCCCTTGGAGAGTTTTGCTCTTTGCTTTCACCCACGGCATAAAGGAAGAAACAACAGGGTTGGAAACTTCACTGATCATAGTCATTCTGTGGTTGTGGATGTTCAAGCCCTCCACTCATTTAATGCTTTCTGTCACATTTCTTTTCAACACCAGCCAATGTGAAGATCCTGATTTATTTTAGTACATTTGCTCTACTCTCTGAAAAATAGGCATGTTATGAGAATATGTTATCTTTTCCCACAAACTTCTCTTTAAACAGTTACCTAGGGCTCTAGTTGCCAGTTGAGATGCAGCAGTGGCTTCAGTTCTGTAGCTGTGGTATTTATCACTTTAGCCAATGCAAATCTGGGGAAATACCTAGGTTAGGATTAGAGGTTCTAGGACAGGGAATGGTGTAGTTGCTGGAAATCTGAGAGTTCCTTTGGTTTAGACGCCAATTTAGTAGAAAGAGCAACACTTGAGTCTCTTTCTGGGCTGTTCCATGTGTTCAAAGGCACCAGGGATCAGGTGCCATCTCATTGCACTTGTCTCTCAGGCACTGGGAAGGGTAACAAAGTTGAGGACATCTTCATGCATCCATACATGAGAGTGCTGCTCTCGTGCCTAGCAATCATGAGCTTGTAATGAATGACAGTCCCCTGCTCCATGTTCATCTTAGAAACCCGTCTGCTTGTACAGAAGCAAATAGATTCACTGCTGTTTTATAATTCTCTGGGAGTTAAATATCCATGTTTTACAGGTCACAATTTCACAGAACCTCTTTAGGAAGACAGAAAGAACCATACTGTAGGATGCCATTGACTATTTGAATGAAAAAGGACTAGAAAGCAGATTCTAAATCATAAGCCAGTAGGCTGGGACTTGCAATCCAAGAACATCATAATTTAGAAGGGGCATCAGACAGACATAGTGGGCCTGGGCCTCAGTTTCCAGTCCTCATCTCTAAAGTGATATATTGATGCAAATATTTCTCTAAGGTCGGTCTTCTGTAGTTACTCTCTGTTCTTATATGTTAATATTCACAAGTTTCAGCCAGATTTGTGTGTGTATAAATATTTACATACCTGCTCATTAAGACATCAAACATTACAAAAGAAATATAAAGTGAAATATGAGGCTATCCCCATTCTATCCCATCCCCCAGAGGTAATACCAGAAAGTTACTCTTTGCATATGTAGACCTACAAATAGTATGTGAATATACTTCTTTTAATTAAGAAAATAGGGTGATAATATACATTGCATATTTCTCTGAAAAATGCTTTTTCCCACTTAATGTGAACTACTTCTCATCACACTTTTAAAAAAACAATTGATGTGAGACCTCTGGTCAGAGGTTTAGGGGCACAGAAATAATTGATTCTCATTACCCATTCCAGGCTAGCCTCCTGTCTTCTGGCAGTGAACATTGGCCTGTGACCTGTTTTATGATTAACAGAGAGGCAACGTTTGTGCTGATGTGGTACAGACCTTTAATCCCTCTGTATAAGTTTAACTTCCTGCAAACAGTATGAGTTGGATTTGACTTTTTTTCTGCTATTTGGTTGAGTCAGCAAATCCAGAATGGGGAAAACAACTTGGTAGTAAATAGAAACATGGAGGGCCTTTAGATGACGATTTTTTTTAAAGTTCAAAACAGATAAATAGTGGCACCTTTCACTTTCATAATGATTTATAAAGCACTTTCATGTTTATTATGCAATTTGACAAATACATTTTGAGCAACTATGGTGAGCAGGGTACTCATAGGTTGCATTGATTCACTTGGCAATAAGATGCCAAAAGCAGACATTATCACCATTTAATTCATAGTAAACTAAGAGAAGTTACTGACTTGCCCAAGTCCCAGATAGGAATGGTAGAGCAGAACTGGTCCTTGAGCACAGGTATGTCTGACTTATAAACCCCAAATTGCAAGGTGAATGTGTCAGACCCTTATGAATTTGAGTTGCTATGTCTGTGGTGTGATGATTCACAGCCTAAGGTGTTCTGGACATTAGGAACCATCCCAAGGCCAATTCCTTTCCCATCCTCACTCTTTCCCTTGAATAGATGGGAGTGCCATCTCTTTTTCCAACTTTGTGCCTTGTTGGGTATTGGTCCTTGGGATTAAAACTCTCTTATTATTTCCTATTTCTCATTATTTCCTAGTCTATTAAGTGAAAGAAGGAAAAACCCAACTGCTTTCTGGGATTATTGTGAGGAATAAATTATATGTCAACCAATTAGCAGAATGATTGGCAATAAATGGTAATTTTTAATTGTTATTATGCTATTTTTTTCCTTTCACTTCATTAAGGAAACATTTTTTTTTTCTTTTTGGCAACTGTCAACTCCTTTGTGCAAATAATTAAACCGAGAAGGAAAAATTGCACCTTGGTCTGAAGGTTACCATGGCACCAGAAATCCACAGAACAGACAGCTAATCCATTGCTGAAGTTCCCTCTATTTGTCAGGGTTTAGTGGGTTCCTGATGAGCTGGTTCAGCCTCAGAATCAGTGACCTCTAGGTCTCCTGGATAGCACTCTATTTAGGATCGCCATGTACATTTGGTATCCTACTTTCATTCATTATAACTATTTGGAACTACTTAGGCAAAGGGGAAAAAAACAGAACTTATTTGTTTATCCATCTGTGGAAATGGACCAGAATGGTCAGAGGAGTCTGCAAAGCTTATCTGTGCAGACCATCTTGGTCACAAACCTATCTGAGCACCTACATTTTGTGCACAACTCTCTTGTACTCTTTTTCCAGGCCTGTCACCATGGCCCACCGATTTCCTGCCCTCACTGCAGAACAGAAGAAGGAGCTCTCTGATATTGCCAAGCGCATCGTTGCCAATGGAAAGGGCATCCTGGCTGCAGATGAATCTGTAGGTGAGTGTGAGAAATGGTCACATCATACAACAGCATAATCTTGTTTCCACTCTTAGCAACTTTATAATCATTTTCCTTGCTCTGTGAGAAAGTAAAGGTTTATGGTTTACATAAATGTGAGAGGGAGCAGAAGATTCATTGTGCATAAATCTTTTGAGACCTGTAGCTCCAGCAAGTAGATTCTGGAAGACCAAGGTGAGAGACTCAAGCCCTCCATCTCAAGGCCCTTGCTGGGAGTCATTTAAATCTAGCCTGTAGCAAGGCCAGGAACTCAGTAACCAGAGGGAGATCAGATATGCAGGTATCTGCTGCTAGTAAGAAGGTAGTTTAAAGTCAGCTTGGTTAGGAGTCTGCAGGGTAGAATGTGCATTTGTACCGGGGCAGGGCTCATGGATAAGGGAACCCCAGGATGGCACAGGGGAGAGTTGTGGCAGCCTTGAACAGCTTAACCCAAAATGACAGAAGCTAAAATTAAGAGTCTTCCCCATTTCTTCTTCCACTGCAAATACATTCAGTGAGCTTGAAGACTGGATCAGGGGAGGTGTAGGGAGGTCAAAAGGCCTTCCATGTCCACCTGAACCCAATGATGGATTCCAACCTGACCCCTGCATGCCCAGCCCATACAGCTGCCAACTAGCAACTTTCCCCTGGGAGACAAAAATCCAGGCAGAAACTTTGAAGATCAGAATTTAAAAAAAGAGTCTTGCTTTCCTTCCTGGTAAGGATCACTGAGTATGGAGAGGGGCCACAGGAAAGCCCTGGCTTGCTCCTTATGCTGCCTTCTGCCTAATCCCCTCAGGCACCATGGGAAACCGCTTGCAGAGGATCAAGGTGGAAAACACGGAGGAGAACCGCAGACAGTTCCGTGAAATCCTCTTCACGGTGGACAATTCCATCAACCAAAGCATCGGGGGAGTGATCCTTTTCCATGAGACCCTCTATCAGAAGGACAGCCAGGGAAAGCTGTTCAGAAACATCCTCAAGGAGAAGGGCATCGTCGTGGGCATCAAGGTGAATATCTCCATTCACACCTCACTCCTGTCATGAGACAAGCTCCCCGCATGCTGGGCAGGGCAGGGCCAACACCTCGCATTCTCAGCACCTTGTTTCTCATCTTTCCATCATGATTTTCTTCCCATGGAGAATCAGATCCTCTCCTAGACTTTTCTGCCAGTGCCCTTGTCTTTCAATTGCTTTTTCTACAAGGTACTTAATCTGTCTGTATCTCTATTTCCTCATTTCTCAAAATGGGAGTATTCGTACCTACCACATAAAGTTCTTGTAAGGATGAAATGAGTTTTTAAAACAGTTTCTATCACATAACTGTTTGATTAATGGTACCTATTTTTATTAAAGTCCCTACTGTTCTATCTTCTAAGTAGGTTTTCTATTACTGCATGAATTTCTCCTGTGAAAATTAGCATTCATTCATTGGGTGCTTATAATTCCAAGCACTCATTTAACCCGCTGGGCAACCCCTGGAAATAGACTCATTTATTATCCTTATTTTAGAGATGAGGTGAGAAAACTGAACCACATGGGTAACATCATTTGCCCATATTCAGGCTATCTATAAAGAGTTTGTGGATTTAGCATCTGCTATTTCGATGCTTAGAGAAGAAACTGCTTCCTTTATCTCTACCTCCTGGCCAAATGCAGGGCCTGGGAGGTGCAAGTGTTCAATAAATGTCAGGATTGACATTCTCAGTCTGTTCCTTCTAGGTAACTTCCCTTCTTCAGTAGACTGAACTGGGTCTGTCCCCCAAACCCATTCCTGCTGTACACCTTCCCTATTTACTCCTTAGCTTGTGAAAGATGAGAACAGCACCAAAAGCCTTGCTTTATCGTTTGCTGACATTCAACACCTGCCAATTACTTGTTAATTATTTGTATCCACAGTTAGACCAAGGAGGTGCTCCCCTTGCAGGAACAAACAAAGAAACCTCCATTCAAGGTAAGGACATTACTTACCGATTTGAGTCATCTTCATAGAGACTAGAAATGAAGATGATTAAAGAAAGAAGCAAGGAAAAATGAAATATGAATATTATTCTAATTTTAGAGCCATTCACACCTGGCTTTTTAAAAAATATTTATTTTTTTAGTTTTAGGTAGACACAATATCTTTATTTTATTTTTATGTGGTGTTGAGGATCGAACCCAGCGACCCACGCATGCCAGGCAAACACGCTACCACTTGAGCCACATCCCCAGCCCAACACACCTGGCTTTTAATACCAGTTCCTCCATTTAATATTTGGGTGACCTTGTGCCAGTCATTGAAATGCTCTGAGCTTCAGTTCTCTTACCTTAAAAATGGGATAACAACATCTACTTTGCAGAGTAGTCATGGGGATTATATCAGACAGTGTACACCAAGTGGTCACCACAATGTATTGCATACTCTACCTGGAACTATTATTTTTTTAAAAAAAAATTCAGCAGTAATAGAGAGGAAAGTCCCCAAGTTTTGAGATCAGGCACACCTGGGTTTGAATCCTTGTTCCATCATAGGCTACATAGATAATTTTGCAAGGTACTTTACTGCCAAGTAGATAATTCTTAACCTCAGCCTTGGATTAGTTAAGCAGAATTTGAATCCCAGCTGTTACTTTTCAGCTGTTCCAACTGTATGGTAAAGTGACTTAACCACTTGGAGCCTCAGTTTCCACATTTGTAAAATGAATATAATATGAACTATTAGTTACCTCTATTCTACTTGTGGAGTGTCCAGGATCTACATTAAAAAAAAAATGTTCATTTGTTCTATGTCTTGTGGCCCAGTATTGTGATTAAAGCTTATTTGCCTGGGTGTTGCCAGTCCTCAAGCTCTGTGGCTTGAAAGCTAAGCCAGGAGAGAACTTGACTTTGTCAGTGGTCCCACGGATCAGATACAGAGGTTCAAAAAAGCTGTTCTCTCTTTTGTGACTTGCAGGGCTCGATGGCCTCTCAGAGCGCTGTGCTCAGTACAAGAAAGAAGGTGTTGACTTTGGGAAGTGGCGTGCTGTGCTAAGGATTGCTGACCAGTGCCCCTCCAGTCTTGCTATTCAAGAAAATGCCAATGCCCTGGCCCGCTACGCTAGCATCTGCCAGCAGGTGCTCTGCCTTCCCTGGGCTAAGAAACAGTAGGATAGACCTTTCATAGATTCTCTCTTTTCATTTTTACTATGACCACAAGGAGTTCCTCCTCTTCCCTTACTATATGCTAGTGGTATTTTTGGCTACTTTTGTTATAGCCAAGTGTATAGGGAAAGATTTGGTCCCATAAGCTGGTAGAAGTCCCATTAAGCAAGGAGCTCAAAGGCCAGTGCCATCAACTTCTGCCCTCTGCCAAAGCTCCATAAACCAATTCTAAAAACAGTAATATTCTTGAGGCTAGGGTACTTGCTTATTTTTGGTTCATAATGCCAAGATATGACCCACTTAGATATGTAGCAAGGGGGTCATAGTTTAAATCTAGTCCCAATCTAAATAATTTTATGGAGAATGGTGGCTTGATGCTAAAGTTTTTAGCCAACACATGCTGAAGTATTTCCAGGGCAAAGTTAAGTTTGATTTGCTTCTGTGAGTACTGTGTTGGGGTTACTAAAGTTGCAGGCACCTGAAAATTCCCAGTTAGAAAACTCTGTACACTCTGCTTGAATGCCTCAATTAACTTATACCAGAGGCATCTTTCTTAGTAATTTAAACTTGACTGCCCTAAAAGGATGAAAAGTAGGTTCTGAGGTAGCTAGAATAATCTCTGGAGTAGGATACAGAAATTAAGGGTTTGTATTTATTTTTTAACCCTATTCCTGAAAAAGTTTTCTATAATTTCACAGCTCTTTTTTTACCTAAGCCACAAATTCTCACTAGATACTCCATAAGTTTCTTTTCACCCACTTTAATTCACATATATGGTGGATTTTGTTTATACCAATTGAATCTGTTGAGTCTACTCCTAAGGAAGGGATTAATCACAGTGTACACAGCTTCACTTTTGACCACCCACAACTCCATTTTCCTTTTTAGAATGGACTGGTACCCATTGTTGAGCCAGAGGTAATTCCTGATGGAGACCATGACCTGGAACACTGCCAGTATGTGACAGAGAAGGTAGGTCTTAAATATATAGATCCCAATTCCAGTGAAAAATCTTGTTTTTAAGTAACTGCTGTTATTTACATATAACAGCTGTTATATTTGAAATAGCCTTTAGTTCAAAATCATTGTGTAACATGGAGAAGGTGAGGAGGTGCTTATCAGTACTTCCCTTTTTTGGTACATGGAAGAAGAAAAGATTTGCACACTAAGACTTGGGTTGGAGAATCCTCTTTCCCACTATGGAGCTTGGTTGGACAAGTCATATTATCTCTTTTGGATTTCATTAGTGTTTACACTAATAAATTTTTAAATAAGGCCAGCATGATAAAATGTTTTTAGAAAGCATGTTGTTCACATTTGACTTTCTAGGTTAGTCATAGTAGTTCTGAAAGAAGGTGATTTTTCTCATACACCAAGAAAGTAGAAGACATATTGTCATCTGAACTTGATTTTTCTCCTTCCAAAATTATGTGGACTGAAATGATATTTGAAAACACTTCTGTCTATACTAGGTTTTTAAGGGAATAAAGAGGGGAGGCCAGTTTAGATGTTTTCAACTAGTTTTATCAAAGCACTCTCATTAAAGGATGATATTGAATATTGACCAAGGGCATAATGGGAAGAAGTGAGTGAAAGGTCCCTAGGACGTAAACTCATGCCATATTTCACACAGTGTCACCACTGAAGTAGAGATGGTGAGCATGGTTGTGCTCAGTGGCTGCAGTTTGCAGTGCATTGCCAAGATGAGGCCTGGAGGCTGATTCAGAAGCTCTTGCCAGGCAAGACATGGGAATTCCTCCATCCTGCATCCTTGCACTATAGAAGTGCTGAAGTAGGGGACTCTAAAATTGACTTTGGTTCACCTGTGTGGTCTCCTTGTCCTGAAGGTCCTGGCTGCAGTCTACAAGGCCCTGAATGACCATCATGTTTACCTAGAGGGCACCCTGCTAAAGCCCAACATGGTGACTGCTGGACATGCCTGCACCAAGAAGTATACACCAGAGCAAGTGGCTATGGCCACCGTCACGGCTCTCCACCGCACTGTTCCTGCAGCTGTTCCTGGTAAGATCTTCTTTCTTCTCTAATTCAAGGTCTCAGTCCTCAAACTTTGAAAGAATGCCACAAGCATTTGGGTTTGTTGTGACATCTTCTATCCTTGAAACAGACCTCCAGCCTCACAGGCAACCAGCACTTCCCCTCCTGCTGTATGATATCAAGCATCCTATGTCAGTCCAATGGCTCACATCCATTTATTTCCTCAATATTTCAGTGCCCCATTTTACTTATTAAATTCTTTTTCTGCCTAGTCAACTAGTTTCAGCAAAGGCAAACTGATTTCCCTGACCCAGTCCCATGCAAGTCAAGCAGAGAAAAGGTGGAGATAGTAGGTTATGTACCTTGAGCAGAATATATAAGCTGGATCTGATACAGTAGAGTCATGGCTCCTTTCCTGCAGGCATCTGCTTTTTGTCTGGTGGCATGAGTGAAGAGGATGCTACTCTTAATCTCAATGCCATCAACCTTTGCCCACTGCCAAAGCCCTGGAAACTGAGTTTCTCCTATGGACGGGCCCTGCAGGCCAGTGCATTGGATGCCTGGAATGGCAAGGCTGCAAACAAGAAGGCAACCCAGGAGGCCTTCATGAAGCGGGCTGTGGTAAGATGCTTCTACCTCTTATCTACCTGATTAAGTTGATACTAGAGGCCTGATGTTCTTGCAATGGTGAAGCATCATTTTCTCCAGGCAAAGAAGATTTCTATATACGGTGCCTCATAGGTATTTGAAAATGTGGCATGAGAGCTCAGTAGGAAGACTGGGGCTAGAAAGAGTTCTGAATTATTCATGCTGGTAGTAGCACTGATGACAGTAGATTGAAGGTTCTTTGTTTTCAAAGAGGCGCTTCAGAGGGAAGAAAATAGGAGAACCAAAGTCTGAATTTGAGTCAACTTTCATTTTGGGAAGATGAACAAGAGAAGCCACCAAGAAAATCAGTGATTATATAATAGGATGAACCAAGGATTCTGGGAACAATCATAAAGAGTTTAAAGGGGTCAGTAACTACATGCTGCAGAGAGATTCAAAACAAAGACTGAGGAAAGCACCGAGATTGGCATTTAGGAGCACATCAGTGACTCTCAACATTTTCAGTAGACAGAGAAAGGGGAAAGGTGCCTCTTCAAGAAGTTTGTCTAGAAAAGACCAGGAAAAGTTATCAGGAGAAATGAGACCAAATAAGACAGAGACAGAGATAGAGATAGAGATAGAGATAGAGATAGAGATAGAGATAGAGAGAGAGAGAGAAAGAAGAGAAGAGAAGAGAAGAGAAGAGAAGAGAAGAGAAGAGAAGAGAAGAGAAGAGAAGAGAAGAGGAGGGGAAGGGAGGGGAGGGGAAAGGAGAGGAGGGGAGGAGAGGGAGGAAAACAAAAGAAAAGAAAGTTAACTAGAAACCATTACTTTAAAAATACTCTCTATGAGTCAAGTACTGAATTGAACAAGTCATACATAACCACTGCTCTCAGGCAGCTTAGAGTTTAGTGACATAGGAGAGAGGTTGGCTTTGTGAAATGTAAAGCAAAAGGAATATGAGGATAGATAAACATTAGGTATTGGGAATAACTGAGAGAAGAAGGACTTACAGAATATGTATTAAATATGGATGGCATCATTGGTCTCAGACAAAAAGGAGAGACAAAAAAGAAGAGAGAACAGGTTTGGATTCAGCTTGGTAGAGTTGAGATGGAGCATTTGATCACTCATTGAACTTGCTGAAAATGTAAAGAAATTAGATTTCATTCTTGACAGTGGGGAAGGTTAGAAGCTGTTGAAGCATTCTGCTAGGAAACTGACCAGACATTACAGCCAGACATAGCCAAACATCAAATAAGGTACACATGCAACTGAAATGAGAGTGAGTTTGTAGTACATTAGCTTAGTTCCTAATTTTTCCTAATGATATTCTAAGGCCTGCAGGGAGATTCAGACAAACTTGAATGGGAAGTAGCAGGATAAAAGAGTAAGTTTAGTAGAGAGAGAGGAGTGCCTCATTTTAGTGATAGACTCATTTCCTTGCTAACCATAAAGGAGGCTGGGCAAGGAATCAAGTTAGTCAGAAGTTTGGAAAGGAGGCCCTAAAGGAAAGGAAGCCCCCACCCACACCGTAAAAAGTTGAAAAACCATCTCTGGGATTGGAAGGAAACATAAAAGCACCTTGATGATGGAAGGCAGGGAATGGAAGTGCTGGCATGTGGCTGATGGGATGGGGAGGTGGATCTCACAGGATGGAGGGATTATGAAAAGTATGGATGAGAAGTGTCATCCACACAGAGCAAGAGAAGTTGAGTTTATCACCCAAGATGGTGGTTCTTCGCTTGACTGTGCATCCTAATGACCTGAGGGCTGGCTGAAATGCAGGCTGCTGGGCCCCATATACTGAATTTCTAACTTAGTAGGTGTGGGGTGAAGTCAGTGTGTCCATTTCTAATAGAATCCTAAATGATGCTGATAGTCCATGAAAGACTCTTGGAGAACCAATGATGTAAGATATCCAAATCTTGGAGAGTCCTGGAGAGAACATACAATAGCAACAATGACTGACAGAAGAAATGACACCAAATATTATTATAAAAGTTTTGTTATTCTGAATTTACCTTTAATTGGAATGTACACAAGCAATCAAATGATAATATGATAACAACTATATCAAACTTACATATTCTTGTGGATAAATATAGGTAGAACACAGAAAAAGATGTAAACACTTCTTTTTTGATTATAGTATACTATACTAGTGAGAAGTTTCTCAACTTCAATTTCTAGTACTGTCATTGCAGTATGATTGATACTATGAAGAAACTTTCCCAGGAACTGACACAAACCTCAGCTTACCAAAGAAATGATCAGAAAACTGGGTCAAAAAGAAAGATAATAGGAAAAAAAGGAGGGGGGTTATATCAGCTTCAATATTTAGCAGTAGCATTGCAAGGAGAAAAAAAAAATCCAGCTGAAGGTGTAGCTTGTGTCCAGTGAGTGGTCACTCCCAGTGTTGCATTTTCTCTAACTCAGTGTCCTCTCCTATGCTTGTGTTTTAGGCTAACTCCCAGGCAGCTAAAGGACAGTATGTTCACACAGGCTCCTCTGGTGCTGCTTCTACCCAGTCACTCTTCACTGCCTGTTATACCTACTAGGCCCTGATGCCCACCAGCCTGGCTCCAGCTCTTCTAGGTGTCTGGGTAGGAGAGTCGACAGGGAACAATCTTTCAATCAGTCCTGGAAATTAGAAAAAATTAGATTGGAAACTTCTGGAAAAACAATATGTGCTAAATTTCAGACACAGGGGAGAAACTAACTCAGTTGTTAAAATATAAATATGAATATCAAAGATCTGATGACTTTCACACAATAGTTTCCTTACACTTCCAGCTCCCCAGGCTCAAGAGTATTCATCCAAGAAAAGAACAGTCAAAAAAAAAAAAAAAAAACAGTTCTCCTTCCAAATAACAACTACAGAGTAAAACATCTCAAAAGCTGAAGGGAAAGCAGATCTTATGAAAAACCTTAGCACTGGAAGGTTATGAAGGAGACAACTGCAACCTAAAAATAAATAAAATGTTCTGTAACTCTTCTGTTGGTATTGGGTTTGATTTTCTGATGTTGTTGTCAGACTCAGTTTATTTCATTGTCTTTGACTCTTCTAGACATGACTGGCATTAATGGTCAGGGGCCTCAGCTTTGGCTACTCATTGGAGTCAAATGGTAGATGCTCAGGATACACCTTAGCCCAATTAAATCAGAAACTCTAGAGGTGTACTCCTCAAATTATCACATTTTTTAAAAGCTCTCTTGGTGATTTGAATGTGCAGCCAAGTTTGAGAATGTTGTAAAATTAAAGCCTTGCATAGTGTGAAGCCAACTAAAATGCAAAATGATTTCCAGTAACTTGTGATAGATGTGACTTTGATGCTTGGAACATTCCTCTTCAAGTGCCCAGGTTGGTGACACAGGACTACATTTCCCTCTGCATGGTCAACCACATTCCCTAGTTTTGCAGTAAATAATATTCACGTAATTAGAATATGTTGACTTTCAATGCTCAGGATTAATCTATAGAGAAAGCATGTGAGAAAAATCATACTTATAAAAGAGAATTTGAACATTATAACTTTGGACAATACTGAAATAATTTAACTGACAGAGGGTGGGACATATAAGGGTATAAAGAAGTAGAGGACAGCAAAGGGAGTCAGGAATATTATGTAAAACTGATGGGTTAAGAAATAGTGCTGTAAGTCTATCTAGGTGATAAAGGAAATAAGATAAATCCCCCAAATTCACATATGTATAATTAAAATATAGAAGAGGGAAGAAAACTTAATTCCTTATCTTGAACAGTACAAAGATGAAAGATAGTGCTTTGAGTAAATAAATTTAAAAATAGAGCCATAAACATATTATCTAGACTAAAATAGACAGAATTGGTCCAAAGAGGCTTGAGGAAAAAGACCTAGGAATAAGGTAAAGGAAAAATTACTTTTTCTTACTTTATACCCTCTATAACATTTGACTATTTATTGCCATATACTTGACATTAGTTTTTTCTTAAAAAAAGTATTTACTTAAGCAATTCAGTCCTTCCTCAGAGGTCATTTAGCCAAGAGTTTCATTTGACACACGAGAATACCAAACCTAGAGCAGTTAAATTACATGCCAAGGGTCACACAGTTAAAATTTTTATCCAGACACAACTAAACCTGTTCTGTAAAGACATTTCTTAGATTCCCATTTAGTGGTTGAGCATAGATTTTTAACTAATGTTGAGTTATTTATATCTTAGGCTAAGATATAAATATGAATTTGTTTCACTGGGAATGAAGATTTATATAATACATTTTCTGTAGCTCCCATCTGAAATTCTTGCCTACTAAAGGACTACAGTTACTTTGAAATCTCAATTCCAGTAATTTCCTATATTCAGGGTAATATGAAGACAAGTCTTATGAAGCTTCAGATTTCAAAGATCAACTCTGTGATCACTAAATACATTGGTGGCTTCCTAGCTTTACCTACTTTGTCAGGTTTATTCTAGGGGTGACTGAACACATACCAAAAATAAAATCTGGTACTAGATATAGATAGGAATCAGTAGAAGTTTCATCTTTAGGGCAGCCATATCTGCATTCCAAATGAGCTTACATTGCTCAGCAAGACACACACAAGCTGTTGTTGACTAGGGGTGGGTTACTGGGGAGGAGAGTCTAATCAGATGGCTGGATGTAACAAAGCAGGAGATGGCATATGGATTAGCTATCACAGGATGATGCAAGGAAGGAGAACTGCCTTTGTGCAAGAAAACATTTTGATAAGTCACTAGAATATGATACTTTCAGGGTATGAATATTATGAATATCAAAAGCTAAGGCCACAAAAAATGACTAAATGCCGAAAGGAACAAAAACAGGAAACTGTTTTTGCTCTAAAGAGGGAGAAGGAGAGAAAGGACAGAATGGGCAGAGAAATGAGGGAAGAAAGGGAGAAAAGAAAAAGAAGGAAAAGGAGACAGGAAGATGTTAGGGCAATATGTAATTTAGGGGACATGACTAAAGGACTTTGAATAAGAGAAACTCTTAATAATCCAAAGATATTTGTCTTCTTGAGATGAAAAGCTTAGTTTTACATATGAGTCTGCATTATGCAAGATACTGAGACGAGTTGTTAACAATTCATAACGTGAATGAATTCAGCAGAAACAGAAGCTAACTGTGACAGAATATGGACCTAAGAAACTTACAGAAATCTTGGGGCAGGCTTTAGGCAAAGTAAGAATGGGTCCATTTGATTTAGCCCTCTCAGGGAAAAGACACCTACTGACATACAGATATCGCTCACAGCAACAGAGGAAATGGCTCCAGTGTGCTAAGGAAGTTGTCCAGAGTCACATAACCAGTTAGTAAGACTTGGGCCAGTGTGATGTGTAAAGGCCTCTTGGAAGGGTGTTCTCATGATTGTTCAAAGCAGAGGTTCTGGAGTTAGCCTAAATTCAAATGCTGGCTCTGCCATTTATTAGCTCTGTGACCTTAGGCAAACAACCTTCCTATGGTTCAGTTTCTTAATCTCCAAAATAACTAAAAGTATATTTTCACATTTTATTGAGACAGTAAATGAGTCACCAACACATCTCAGTAATAGGTTCACAATCTCTTATGATATCCAAAAAGCTCTGAAAACCAGTTTGCAAGGAATTTTTCAGTGGCAAAATCTGAGTCTATCCATTATTATTCCACTTGATGTGATGCAGAATATTAGTGTGATCGATAGTAGGTGCTGCCTGAGACGCTGTAGAGAGGGTTATAAAAAATTCTGATTTCCCAAACACGAGTAGTCTCAAGGTTTTTTGGATAATGAATTGTAGACCTTTCCTTTGTACAATATCTGCCACACTTTGAGAATAGCAGATAAACTGCCCATGTTCAATAGACCCTGGGGGGCTCCTGCAATGTTACCAAGTCTCTAAGTCCATATCTAGAAAAGATGAATTAAGAGACAGTAGTAATGTAAAGCTCAACACAGCCAGTCATAGCTCTTTCCATTACTCAAAAATGATTTTCTGGCTGCAACACATTCTGTCCTAGGCTTCTTGAAATAGTGTAACCACTCAGTACTGGAAATCAAATACACATGAATATACATAGAAGTCAGTCAACAAATATTCACTCAGCTCCTACTGTATGTTCAGTGCTATAAAGATACTGCAGGGTCCTTACAAGCTCACTATTGAGATGAGGAAGACAAGGATACGGTTAAGAAACAAAGTGGCATACAATAGCGTGCTAAATTCTGGTGACACAGTCTAGCTGCCAAGATCCAATGGGAAGGTATTCTTTATAGAGGCAAGATAATGAGCTGCAGGCAGTTGATTACAGGTTATATGATCTTGGTAAAGTCTCTTTGAGCCTCAGTTTCTGTATCCGTAAAACTGTGGTTTTGAGGGCTAGCAATAGTTAATATACAATGCCCCATACACAAGTAGTGATTAAATACTAGTTATATTTTTTCCTGTCAGCCAGCTCTTGAACAATAGTCGCTTAAGTGGGAATGAATGTGAACTGTGTGTCCTGACTAGAGTACAGACTATATCTGTTGAGGGAATTGCAGGAGATCATTCCAGAATGTTGAGGCCAAATGCAGTGGCATTGGAGATGGTGGGTTGTGGGTTGGTAAAGGATATTTTGAAAACTTTTGAAGTGATGAGAAATAGAGAACTATGGATGATATTTAAGGAAAAAAATGACATGAGTATTCCTGAAAATTACTTTCAGAAAGTACTGGATCAGGAAGAAAATAAGAGCCAGGTAAATGTCTTTAACAATCCAGCAAGGGCCTGGACTGTCTGTGGTGGGGTGGGTGAGTAGACATGGCATCTTCAGACTGGGAAAACAATTAACTCTCCTTATGTAGCAGTCATTTGCCACCCTAATAAAGTCTCTGTTTGCACCCTGATAGACAAAGCACTGGGGACAAATAAAAGCTCAAGAGGCTGGGGTTGTGGCTCAGTGGTAGAGCACTTGCCTCACATGGATGAAGCACTGAGTTTGATCCTGTGCACCACATATAAATAAATGAATAAAATAAAAAGTCATCAACACTAAGAAAACAAAACAAAACAAAATAAAAAGAGAATTAACCTAACTTTAAAAAAATAAATCAATAAAAGCTCAAAGTTCATCTTTACAGAGTTTTCAAAAAGGGACTCAATTACACGCACAGCCCTTTGAATACTGTGGCACATGAAAAACAGGGCATGTTCTAAACATAGCACAAATTCTGGCAGTTTAAGACAGTCAGGGCTAGGCTGTAGCTTAAGGTCTCAGGTGTCAAGAGAAATCCATGCTGCCTTCTTGAGATCTTAAAACACAAGGCATATTTCTGCAGCCACTTCCAACTTTTCTTTATCCTGCCCATTTCTCCCTTGGGGAATTTACCAAAGAAGTCAGAGTACACCTCTTGGTTCCAGGGATGCAGTGACTGTCATGTGATATGGAGGTTTACCTTAGCTGTTGGACCAACATGAGAAACCTGTCCTTTAAAGCTTGGCTCCTGGATAGGAAACAACACAGGCAGAGGTGCACACCATATTTCATTTGTGCAAGATGTATAGCTAACCAAAACTCAGTGTTTAGGAAATTTAGGTGATTTTTCTCCAGTCTTTTACTGTATGTATTATGTATAGCACTATTCATTCTGCAAGTCTCCTTGAGGACAAAGGGCTGCCAATACAACTGGGCATTTGATACTTACAGAAAATACATAGCATATGGCAGGTAGTTTAGAACTACATGATAGCTGAACTTATAATACCTTTGAACTAAACATGCTCACATCTTAGTTCTAAAAATGACTTAATAAAAAAGAAAACAATCAACCAACCCCCACCAAGACCACTTCTAAAGGAAGTAAAGAAGGAACATCACAGGTAGCACATGAAAAATGGGGTATTTAAGTTTTGGAACAGTAACTTTAAAATGACTGGACTATCTGAACTAGATTTTAAAAGTTGAAATTTATTCTGCAAGCAAATACTGTGCTGAAATGGGTATGTTGCATATGCCTCTAGACTGGCTAGTTAATATACTCCTTTAGGAAGATAGATGAATGTATTGCTAATAAAAAGCACAGATAAATGGATAATTATAGTGGTTTACAGTATTTGCCACCAGGCTCCTTTTACCTGCTCATATAAAAATAATTTGTTTCATTTACTTAAACCCTAATTTCCTTTCAAAATTGTTCCATGTTAATTCCCAGAAAGAATTTGAGTAATTCCATCAAGTTCATAGTCTTGTACTTCAGCTGGGCTCTATACAAAACCCCAGGCCCTCCCAAGTTTTTGCTTTCTCTTCCATGCTCCCCAGCTGCTCCTTCAAACCTTTAATTTTGACAAGGCCCAACTCTGTCCCAAATCACATCCAGCTTTCCTCCTTCCCTCAGTCTCCAAACATAAACTCGCTTATGTTTTTTTAATGGATCACCTCAGGTGAATTCAATTTTTTCACCTCCTGAACAAGACAGTAAATCTGTCCTCTTCCCTTTTCTCCCAAATTGGAGGAAGATGGTCTCCAAATGCTAGGACCATTAATGCTAGAATTCAATTATCCTTCTGATCTTCCTTATCCTAAACTCTCCTTCAACTGGCTATCTTTTCAGAACATAAAAATGTCAATTTTTCCTTAATCTCAATCTACAGCCCTCTTTGTAAATTTAATTTTTAATTGACAAATAATAATCATATACATTTATGGAGTACAGTATGATAAAGCCCTCTTTATTTTCACACACTAGTCATCTACTTTTTTTTGCTTTTTATAGACCAGTAACATGCTTAAAAAGAATTACAAATAATGGGTTACCATTTGCTCTTTCATCTAGGATATATATTAAAAATGTATCCTCCCATCACTATTATTCATAAAAAGGACTTATTTTATACAGGGCATAATTTTAGAATAAAGGTCTTTAACCACTTCAGCTTTACAAAGATACTATCTTTTTCTTACTTTTACCACTTGAATGTAGTAAAATTTTTGTCTGAATTGGCAGATTTAGGAACTGATGACCTATACTCTCCAGATACCATTTCACCCTCTGAAATGGTTTTTCCCAGCTCTAGAAGCTGCTCTTATAGAAACTCATTACTTCCTAATGAACAAGTCCAGAGGACACTCTTTAGCTCTTCCTCTGCCTTGCTGCAGCACTTTTCCAGGTCACTTTCCTAAGGCAGTCTTTACTACATGTTGGACTTCCACGCTTCTGCTGCCCCTCCCTCAGATCCCTTTGTATCTTGCACATGGGATTCATGCACTCTGGACTTTTCTAGTTTTATTCTTTCCTTGAAATTTAAATCTGCCTCTTTCCAGTTCTGGTAAATTGCTACATCAAACCCAGTCTCTTCTGCAAGCACCATATCCTTATGTCCAATTGCCTCTCAACATCTTAACTGTCTCATGGGCAGACCAAGTTCAAAACAACTTCAGCAATCACCTGTTTCTATATTGTGCCACCTACCCCATTTTAGCAGTTAAGAGCATTAACACCCCCCTACACTCAAAACTTCTAATTCTTTACCTTTCTCTTTCAATTACCAACTGCAGAAAAATACTTCTCAAATCTGTCTCCTCATGTTCCCATTGGCTTAGCTGAAGCATCATAATCTCTCAAATGTTTTATAAGGACCTGTTTAGCTTCTTCACATGGAAACCATAAATTCTTAGAACAATTATTTTGCATGTCCTGTTTTCTGAGTAAGACCCATCGATCCAAGAAAGGTCAAGTAGTATGAACCTAGACCTTTTCCCTCCCATTCACTTCCATAATGCCTGGTGAGTCCTTCATAATGACTGAGGAGTTAAAATGGAGAACAGTCTCCTGAGCAGAACTCTCTCCATCTGCCTTCTTTAAGCTCTGCCTCTCCTCCCTTTCACATTCCTGACTAAGCCCCTAGGCTACCACTCTGTACTCTGTAGCTTCCAGGTTATCTCAGACACTACTTGTTATCTTCACTAGTACTCATCTTTCAGTCTCATCCCAATGGACTCCTTTCAAATGACTTAACTTTTTCCTTCCCTTCTAGGATCTTCATTTTCCTATGCATTCATCTATCATTTTCATGGGAAACAAAATAACTTTAAAAAAATCATTTTGGGCTGTTTTTTTTTATTGTTTTGTTTTTTGAGATGATCTTGCCATGAGTGCAATTGATCCTCCCATCTCACCTGGCCATTGGCTGTTTTTAAAAAAGCAATGAGTTGTACATATAGTCAAAAACTGTCCACTGCTACAGGAGTTTTGTCACTCCAGATTCATATCCAAGGATGTTAAAAATTATTCAATTCTAGTAGGAGTATCTCATACAACCATGGCCAAGAATTATCATGAGGAAAATATAAACAGCTAGGGGTTATATATAATTCCAGTGAAAAAGTAAAGTTGTTTGTGTGCCTTCCATTGAAGGTTTGTACTAGGTTTTTAAAAATACTGAGCACAGGTCTAAGAACCTCATAATTAGTTGAGATCTCATTATTAGCCTGGGAACCACTGGTATAAAGAAAATTGACTATCCAGGAAAGAAGGGTAATTCTGTGGACTCAGGTGCAGTCTGTTATTTTTCATACTTTCCATTGGGTGACAAGTATTCGTTTTGAAATCTTAACTTAAATCTTAAAATATAAGTACCTAACTTAAATAGATATATTTCTACACATGTATAATTGCCAAATTTATATGCATATGCATACATGAACACATGTGCTATTCACAATAAGATGAAAAATTGGAGGTTAAGGGAAAGGGAGAGAAAAGGGAAACTGCATGGAAATGGAGGGAGACCCTCATTGCTATACATAAGAGGTTGTGAGGGGAATGGGAAAATAAACAAGGAGAGTAATGAATTACAGTAGATGGGGTAGAGAGAGAAGATGGGAGGGGAGGGGAGGGGGGATAGTAGGGGATAGGAAAGGTAGCAGAATACAACAATTACTAATTGGGCATTATGTAAAATTGTGGATGTGTAACCGACGTGATTCTGCAATCTGCATTTGGGGTAAAATTGGGAGTTCATAATCCACTTCAATCTAGTGTATGAAATATGATATGTCAAGAGCTTTGTAATGTTGTGAACAACCAATAAAAAAATAAAAAATTAAAAAAAAAAAAAGAAAAATTGGAGGTTATTTTTAAAATGGCTGTGGTATAGGAAAAAGGGTGTTTGCTCAAACTGTTAGGAAGTTAGAATTAGGGAGTTCTGATAATTTGGAATTCTATATTCAGAAATTAGAGAATCTGGACTTAAGCTTATTTTGATCTAATCTAGAAAAAATTAACTAGCCATAGGCAGAATGAGTTCCTTCAAATCCTTGATTTTAATTTTAAAAACACAGTAATGTAGTTGATAGGACTGGTTTTAACAAAAAACTCCTACATGAAGCAAAAAAAGACAAAAACAAAACTGGTTTTAATTGATTCAAATGATGACTTAACAGGTTTATAAAACAACCATTATCTAAAGGAAGCCCTAGAACCAGAAATAAAAAATTTAAAATTGCATGCAAAATCTAGTTACTATAAAACCCAAAGCAATACCAAAATATCTCAAGCTTCCTAGCATAAACTCCAAGTCTTTTTATTTCCAATTCTTGGTAACCAAAATATGTACACTTTCACATGCTCCTTGGTTGTGCAGGAATAAGCTTATTCGTATAGTATTACAAATATCTTTCACAGATGGGACAGCACAAAAGAACAGTTATCTTCTACTTTTTTAGGCCCATCTTGGGGGGAAAAAGGCACTCCCAAAGATTGCTTGGTAACACCTTTGCTAGGCGAGGTTTGTTAATTACTCACATGATCTTTACATGTAAACTTAATGGTTCACTCATTTCACTGATCTGGGAATAACCAGGCACTGGAACTGCCTTTTATTAACTCGCATGCCGAACAGTTAACTTTCTTAAATAAATGACAAAAACTTTGTATACTGATTTCAAAAACAACTGAGCTTTGTTTGACAACTTACATATGGTTAATCACTAGGCTTTGGCATGCACAGCCAAACGTAATGGAATTGAAAGGACCACCATGAAGATGGTGGCAGAAGATTCTCTGAATCATTATTCTCAGTTTTCTAACTCAGCTGCTCCCAGTTTCCTTGCACTAATTCAACTTTGTCCTTTAGAGCACTTCCATGTTCTACACCTGGGTTCAACTTCTCTGCTGAAAGATTTGTTAAAAGACACTTAAATTAGTAAGTCTTTGTCTATGATCATGAAAACAGAGTAATTAGAAGTCAACTGGCCATGGACATGTGTCCACTATTCACAGGATCTTTAGAAACCATTTGCCTGAAGCCAAGGACAATTTGCTTTACCAGAAAATTTGACTCATATTGAGCCAGACTAAAACTGCACTTGGGTAGATAATCTCAAATTAAACTGAGCCTACTTATTTCTCTACACTTACTGCATCCATGCAGTATGCAATTTTTGATGCTGAATAAGAGATATATGGCAATCGAAGGCTTCACCGCAAGCATCACATTCATGGGTTTCTTGAGTTTTCACCTCTGCATGGATCTTCTGATGGTTGACAAGGCTGCGCTGTTGACTGAAACTTTTGTCACATTTCTCACACTTGTAAGGTTTCTCTCCTGTGTGTATTCTCTGGTGTTGAATAAGACCTGAGTTCCGGCTAAAGGCCTTCCCACATTCCTCACATTTATGGGGCTTATTACCTGTGTGAACACCCTGATGTCGAATGAGATTACAAAGCTGACTGAAGCTTTTGCCACACTGTCTGCAGAGATAGGGTCTCTCACCAGTGTGGATTCTCTGATGTTCTATGAGAAATGAACTCCGACTAAAGCTTTTCCCACAAACAGTACACAGATAGGGCTTTTCGCCAGTGTGGATTCTTTGATGCTGTACAAGATGAGCACTAACACTAAAAGTTTTCCCACATTCATCACATTTGTAAGACTTTTCCTTAGGGTAGATCTCCTGCTGTATAACAAGACTGCAATTTGGATCAAAAGTGTCCTTAGTTTCACTGTATGGATAAGTCTTCTCCCTGGTGTGGATTCTCTGATGCTGAATAAGACCTGAGCTTCTACTAAAGGCTTTTCCACATTCCTCACATTTATGAGGTTTGTCTCCTGTGTGAATTCTCTGATGACGAGTAAGATTGCAAAGCTGACTAAAACTTTTCCCGCACTCTTTGCACTGATAAGGCCTTTCACCGGTATGGATCCTCTGATGTTCAATAAGGAATGAGCTCCTACTAAAGCTTTTTCCACATTCTATACAAAGGAAAGGTTTCTCACCAGTGTGAATTTTTTGGTGTTGTATAAGGTACGTACTTAATCTAAAGGCTTTCCCACATTCACCACATTTGTGGGGTCTTTCCCCAGTGTGGATTCTCTGATGTTCAACGAGCAATGAATTTCGGCTAAAGCTTTTCTTACATTTGGTACAGTGATAGGGTTTCTCATCAGTGTGAGTTCTCTGATGCTGAATAAGGTGTGACTTCCAACTGAAGGCTTTCCCACAGTCACTACATTTATGGGGTTTCTCACCTGTATGGATCCTTTGATGTTTAACAAGGCTCCTTCTCTGACTGAAGCTTTGTTTGCATTGATTACACTGGTAGGGTCTTTCTCCAGTGTGGATTCTCTGGTGTCTAATAAGGGTTGAGCTCACACTAAAGGTTTTTCCACAGTAATTACACTCATAGGGCCTTTCCCCAGTGTGAATTCTCTGATGTTCAATAACGAATGAACTGCGACTGAAACTCTTTCCACATTCATTGCACTGAAAAGGTTTCTCACCAGTATGGACCCTTTGATGTTGAATGAAATGGGCCTTGCGGACAAAACCTTTTCCACATTCTTCACATTTATGGCATTTTTCTTCTGAGTTTTGTTTCTTATGAATAACGTTAGTGTTTCCTCTGAATATTTTCTGCTCCTGGGTCAAAGATTCCCGTGGTATTTCCCATAAGAAGATACCTCTCTGTTTATCTAATCTACCAACAAGTTCAAAGGTTTCTCTACCCATGGGATCCTGGTCAATCTCACTTTTGATTCTTGTAACTATTACACTCTGTGGCTCCACTTCTTCCTCAATTTCCTCAATTTCTTGTTTTACAGTTGGTTCTTCATCCTTATCTCTGTTCAAAACATCTGGAATAAATAATAAATATAATCCAAACATCAGCCAAGCTCTTCAAAGGCAAGAAGAAACTATTAGAAAAATAAGGTAATTGAGGGGTTGGAGATGTGGCTCAAGTGGTAGTGCGCTTGCCTGGCATGCGTGAGGCACTGAGTTCGATCCTCAGCACCACATTAAAAAAGATATTGTGTCCACCTGAAACTAAAAAATAAATATTGGGAAAAAAAAAGAAAAATAAGGTAATTGAGCTGGATATGGTGGTGCATGTCTGTAATCTCAGCTACTAGGGAAGAAGCCATGGCAGGAGGATTAAAAGTCTGAGGCGTCAGCCTGAGCAACTTAGTGAGACTGTCTCTAAATAAAAAATAAAAAAGTATTGGGGTTGTGGTTGTTATAAAGTGCTCCTGGGTTCAATCCCCAGAACAAAAAAAAAAAAAAAAAAAAAAAAAAGGCTACTATACTTAAAAAAATTTATTACCTCAGAATGGTACTGTGAAGATTAAATTATATAAATATTACTTCTTCTAATTATTTTTAAGAGGTAAGATCTTGTTTAAGGCTGGCCTTAACTCCTGGGCTCAAGAGATCCTCTTGCCTCAGCCTCTCAAATAGCTGGGATGATAGGCATGTAACACTGAGCCTGACCTAATATTATTATTCAATGTAAGTTATCTGATGAAATAAACTGGCTTTTTTGGAAAAGGGTATCAAGATTGCTCAGGAGGCAGAGAATGAGATAGTAGGAGCAAGTAGAGCTGGGGTGAAGAGCTATCAAATCAATACTGATACAAAGTAAGATGGGTAAACAAAGAAAGAAAACAAGTAGGTGGGATTAACTGATCTAACAAAGAAAGGATATTATGGAACAAAACCAGTAAGGTCAGAAAAATTTAGGATGAGAAAGCATTACTGGAATCTGGGCAGAATAAATAGACCACTTCATAGAAGGAACACATAAGAGGATCCTGGGACAGATTTTAAAAAGAAGAAGGAGGAGGAGGAGAAGCAGCAGCAGCAGCAGCAGCAGCAGTAGCAGCAGGGAAAGGTACAATTTATTCATTAATAAGAATTTATTCATTGGCCCGATGAAGTAAGCCAGGATTCAAAGATAAGTCATAAAGCCCCGTATCAGATGAAATGGATATTTATTAAAAATGGGGAAATAAAATAATAAACACAATGTTAAGAAATAAAAGTAGCTCCTATGTTGATAAATGGGTCTTTAAAAAAAAAAGGTTGAAGTGTCATGAAGTGTTTTGTTTATTTTTTAAAAGTCTATGGTCTAGAAAGAAGAAATAAAATAAGTATAAAGGAACATGGTCAGAGAAATGGAAGAAATGAAAAAAGTCTGCAGCAGTTTATGACTTCACTTACCACAAATCATAATACATTCTTCAAGTACAAATGATTCTCAACCTTCTGAATATATAAGACCCAAGGTTCATCACCTTTTTTCAGCTGACAATCTGTATTACATCTGAGAAATAAAAACCCTGCAGATGTTGAAGAAAAGATAGCATAATAATCTAATAACACAGTGGTCTATAGGACAATTAAGCCTGCCTCTTGACTTCTTTCCTGATTTTCCATCTCTCTTGACACCTCATAATCCACAAGAAGATTTAATCACTATGAAATTTATTTTTGGCCTTAATTCTTTTCATAATCTTCTTCTCTCAATGTTCTTATATTTTAAATGTGAACGTTAACTATGAATTTTCTTTTGACTTACTTCAAACCAGTTAAGCTATTTTATTAAAAGTAAAACAAACTTACTTCTCTTATTCTCCTAAGCAACTACTAGAACCTCAACTTCTTCTTAGGGTACTTACAATATCCCCTCTGGAATTCACTTTCAGTGGACACTAAAGTCTTAGATTTCTCCTGCTTTCTTATTATTAATCAATCACCAAAATCATGAAATCCTTTCTAGTATCTACAGTCTCCTTTTAACTCTCACAATCATGCAGCTATCTAATAATCTGTGGCCCTGATCTTTCTTTAGGCTGCCCTCACATTATATTTGCTTGATTCCAGAGATGTTTAGAAAATGGAATTCTATTCATGTTATCACTTATAGATTCAGCAGCAACATATCATTTTAAGATCGAATCAAAGCTCTTTATTATGACACTCAGAACTCTTCATGACATGGTCTCTAATTCCCAACTCAATCCTCCTACCTACTTATCATACTTTATGCAGGTAACCTGCTTGTGTTAGTCCTTCATGCCCTATCCTTGCACTTTCTATTTATAACAAGTGTCCCTCTGCATTGCTTACTAGGCAACTCTTGGTTCTTTAAGACTCAGTTCAAAGCAATAGTTCCTCTACAAAGACTTTGCTAAGTCCACTAGACAGATTTAGGTGTTCTAATTTTCTTATTACCAATTCTGTATTACTGTCCATAACCCCACAGTGTTGCCAATAGATGCCATTATTAACATTTTTAACTGTTATGTGTTGTCTCTTTCATTGGATCAAAAAGTCATTGTGGGAAAGAAAGTCTCTATAATGTTAACCCAGTGGGTATTGTACTGGGTAAAATTACTCGAAGAAATAAGACAAAGTTAACATCACTTAAAGGTGATATGAAGTCTACTTAAAACTTTCTGAGTCAAATGAAAATATAAATAGTAAAAACAAGATTAAAAAAATTAGTTCTTATTACAAATAAAACCGGTCAGTAAATACTAGAGAAAAATAAAATGTTCTTCACAGTAGTAACAAAAAATATAAAACCTAAGGAATAAATACAGCAAGAAATGTTCTAGTGAGTTTTAGTGAGGCATGGTGGCATACCTCTGTAGACCCAGGAACTCAGGAGGCTGAAGCGAGAGGACTACTTGAGCCCAGGAGTTTGGGGCCATCCTGGGCAACACAGACTATACCTCAAAAAGAAAACAAAAATTAAATAAAATGTACAAGACCTGTAAAAATAACCTGTAGAATTTTTCTGAAAGAAAAAAACACAGTTAAACAGTCAACCAACTGGCTAAAGAGATTCAATATTATAAAGACTGCGATTCTTCCCAAACTAATCTATGAAACTAATAATATTACAATCAAAATCACATGAATCAATTTAAAAAATCTAAATTTCAACTGAGAGAATGTATGCAACTAACTTGTTAAGTACATCCTGAAAAAGAACATTGAAGACTGACTTATCTTAAGAAACATAAAATATAATATATTGTTAAAGTAAAGGAAATGACAACACTGGCATAAAAAACAAATAGGTTAACAGGATAGGAAGATGAATAAAATAAGTGTAGGCTTCCATACAAAGTAGACCTGAAATGATTATCTATTACATCCAGCTTGGTGATTATGTTCGATGTTTATATATCTCCCATCCTATGGTCATTGCTCCTTTATTCATAGTATGCATCTGACTCAATGTGGATGTGTCTCCAGGAATGTGGAAACTGAAATTAAAATAGCTAGTTAATCTAAATGTGATTAGAACTGTAAACTATCAACTCAGAAGCAAAAAGGGCAGAAGTATATGGGCATAAGGACTGAAAACTAATCTGTCAAGGGGGAAAAAGTAAAGCAAAATAAAAAAAGAGTGTTATGGATTAAATGGTGTATCCCTTTTGAAAATTTAAATGTTGAAACCCTAAGCCCCAATGTAATAATATTTGGAGGTGAAGCCTTTGGTGGGTAATTAGGTTTAGATGAGGTCATGAGGGTAGAGTCCCCATCATGGGGTTATAATGCCACCCAGTCTACTGTATTTTGTTACAGCAGCCTAAGCTAAGACAAAATAATTTTTCAGTTCTTGAGATTGATTCAATTTCTGTTTTCAGTCTTTTTCAGATATTCAACTATAATCATGCTCATATATTATATAAGACATTCCATATATCTTTATAATAATTCCTTTGTTGGTTTATGCTAGTTAATTTTAATGTTTTTTAACTCAATAGTTCTAATACTATGTATGGTAGCTGAGGGGAGAGAAAGAGAAGGTAAGGAGATGGTAAGTGGACAAACTTTAAGTCAGAAGACAGGTTGGTGTACTTTTCTTGTAAAGCGCCAGGACAATAGATATTTTTCATTTTGTGAAGGATATGGTCTCTGCTATTGTAATAATTAAAGTAATTAAAGAATGTCTGTGTCAAAAATAGGCCACAGGTCAAATATGACCTGTGGGCCATATTTGCCAACCTTACTATCCAACGGAGTATAAAACAAACAGTTTTCCTGGTTAACAAAATGGGAGAATGGGGAAGAACTGGAATTTCTAGGGTCTAGCACAGGTTCAATAACAAGTAATTGAATTAATATTTTAAGAAATAATTGAAGAAAGAATATAATTAAAGAAAAAAAACAATGAGTTCAATATCTTGTAATTTCAGCAATTCTTAGTTCTGTCCAGTGTGAATCAAGTAGTCTGAGGAGCCAACATATGGATAAGTTGGCAGTGACTCAAATACACCATGGTATATTAAAAGAAAAAAAATAGCAGGTGAGACAATTAAAGATTAAAGTATTATGCAGGAAATAACAGAGGAAACATGAAAACTAGACAAAAACTATATTAGAGAGATCTTAGAAATGGTAAGAAATTAAGATTTTTGTATTGTTAGCTATCAGGAACCATCAAAAGTTTTAAGCATAAAATCACTTTGGTAGCAATACATAAGATATATTTTTAAAAAGAGATTGAGGGCCAGGGACTAGTTTAAGGCTATGGCAACAATCCAATCAAGAGATGCTGAGTCTTAAATGAACTGGACTTATTCAGTTTCACAAATATTTAAGAAGCATATAACATAGGCCTGCCTCTGTGGTAAGTGCTGAAGAAATCAAATGAAAAAGGTAAAATTATTGTCCTTGTGATAATCAGTGTGGTTAGAGAAATAACAAATAAAGAATGTTTATGGGACAGTAATGTTAAATAGTAGAAATACAGAGAAAGTACAGAGAAAGAAATGTTTGACTCTGAAAAGAAGGTCTGTGAGATCTTAAAGGATTATCTGAGACTTGCCAGCTAACTTATCTACATGGTCTTCAAAATACAGAAAAAATGATGATGAGAATAACATTCAATACTCATACTGTGCTTCCTACATGATAATCAATGTCCTAAGTGCTTCATACATATACTATCTCAGTAAATATTCACAATAACCTTAAAAGGTAGGTGCTATTATTATTTACATTTTATTAAAAAAAAAAAAAGAACTGAGGCACATAGATGTAAAGTAAGTCATCCATAGTCATAAGTCTAGTAAGTGGTAGAAACAGGATTTGAACCCAGGCAGTTAGGTTCCAACTTACTTTTCCTAGGTGGAGATAAAGACTGGAAACTTACCATCACATAATGGCAGCTGATGGCCTGAGGGCCTGAGGGCCTGTGGGCCATATAGTGTAGATAAGATTATCCAAGCAAAGTGTTCAGAGAGGAAGTCAGAATATAAGATAATGGAGGCAAGCAATAAAGAATTTCAAATATTCATAATGAGGTGGAATAAAATAAGGCCCAGAAAAGAGCCTATTTCATTTGACAATGAGGTTATTATAAATTCCCGGTACACAACTTAAAGGACATACTAGAGGCAAGACAAAAGGTGTACAGATAATGAAAGGTAAAGTAGTACAGAATAGACATTAACTACTCTTAAAAAACTTGCCTATGAAGAGGATCAGTAGTAAGTTATAGGGAGCAGTAAAAAGGAAACTCTGGTTCAAAGATTTTTTTCTTTCTCCTCACTTCTTCCTCAATTGAAAAAGCCATGAACAGACCTATCATGAGAATAAAGGTACCAAGAGAGAAGGACTAGAAACTGAAGGCTATTAGAGAATATGAGGGTTCAGGCTTAGTGGCTTCTATTTTCTCTGTGAAATAGAAGGTAAGATCCAGAGAAGGATGGGAAACTCTTAACTTTTTGAAGTAGTCACCAAAAGGATCAGGGAACCAGGCCTGTTGAGGACAACAACAACAAAACCCCCCAAAAACAAAAACAGAAAAACACTAAAACCAAAACAAACCAATCAACCCTGTGGAAACTAAGGGAGGAAAAAGCTGTTTGTGTGTGTGTGCATGTGTACACACACATACATTTATACATACACATACAAACACACATCATACCCAAACACAAGACATCCATCCTTTTGTTAAAGACTGTTCCCTTCAGTTTAGTAACTCAAGTAGAAGAGGGGTAAAAAGTAGATTTTTGTAACAACAGGATTTAAAATGTTCAATGGACATAATTTATTATGCAGGTGGTAAGAGAGCATGCTGTTAATTAGATGAGTAAGTAGTAAGGAGAGAACTTACATACACCTTGGTAAAGAAAAGGACACATAAGGGGACAGGAAATACTGCTAATAATGAAAAGATATAGATAGGAGAGATAGAAGGTAAGAAGTTGCAATGAGCTCCACCAGGACATGTGTTTTAGTCACCATTGTTTAGCCCCAGTCAATACACATCTATTGTCTTGAATAAGTGATCAGAAAATAGGATGTTGGGGTTCAGTACTTGTCTGTCACAAAAAATTTAAGGGTATGAGTTGGGTAAATGTGGAAAGCAGGGTCTCTAGAGTCAACTGGTCAAGATCCACTGAGGTTCAAGTATTGACTGGGTCACCAATGGTGTGGGTTAAGTACAGAAGACTGAAATAGGTGATAAAGTCATGTGTGAAGAACCAAAGAAAATGCTGACAGATGATGATGGAAAGAAATTCAGTGGTTAGGACAAGAGTGCTGAGTCCTCAAAGGAGAGTTTGTTTGAAGGTAGAAAGCTATTGCTTTGGGAACAGCATTGAAAAGCAGGAAGAACACTAACTTCTCCCTTGCGGACTTGAAACAAAGGATGGGGAAGGAGAAGTGGGAGAATAAGCAGCCCTCACTCAAAGGACTGCCAAAGAAGTGGTGTCCTTGGGAAAATGCCAGGTTTCAGTTAAGGCAGGGAGGGGTAAGGAACATTATGTGAAGAAGAACAGGGACTCCAGAAGGCCAGTGAAAAGGGGTGGGAGGAAAGCAGTGGGAGGATGAGCCAGGAGGGAATGTACAAAGCAATATGGGAATAAGATTATGAAGTCAGGAAGCCAGAAAAGCTTGCATTTTGGTCACTGCAAGGAAGTTAAGAATAAGTGCCATGGAAACAACTAATGATTGAAAGGTTTGAAATCAGAACTTTAGAACAAAGCAGTTTTGGTACTGGTTCAAACATTCTGAGTCTGATTACCAGTGCCTTCTTGGATATTTTAGTTACAGAAACAACAGATTCTTACCCAGTGAGACCAGGTTTCCATAATTCTCCATCATGACATCTTTATAGAGGCTTCTCTGAGCTGGGTCCAGATAATCCCACTCCTCCTGGGTAAAAAACACAGCCACATCCTCAAATGACAGCAACCCCTGAAATAGTATGATTTCTGTTGTCAGCTCCTATTGTCTCAAGGACAATTCTGCCAGTGAAAGTGGCAGAAGCTATTACTTATCAGGGCCAGGTGCTCTAGAATGAACACGGTAACTAAGAATGCCCAAAGGTGCCCAATTCCGGGAACTGACTGCAACAGATAGACCCCTCGGATTAGAGGGAAAGCAGGCTGGAATCTTGACCTCAGAAGTGAAGGAACTAAGGATAAGGCATTTTCTGGTTTAATAACTATACCTTAATATTTTAATTTAGAAAACTGCCCCAAGGTCTGTCCAAGCTTCCCTTACCTCACTGTCCCGCTCCAATTCTCTATTCGCATTCGCTTGTGACCCTATTCAATTCAATTCCATCAGGTTCTTTAAGCATCTACTTTGGGTCCAGGCATCATGCCAGGCGCAGAAGACACAGAAGAAGGTCAAAAATGGTGCCTTACCTATAAAAACTCAAAAATGAGAGAGCTAGCTAGGAGCATTCCTAATTTTCTCCAGCCGACTTATTAAGTTGCCCAAGAAAGAAAAGGAGCCAGTGGGCAGATTTTAAGTGAACCGCACCCCAGAGCATCGGCGGGGCCTGGGGGGTTCCTCGCACGGCAATGGCGGTCAGAAAGTTGTAGGGGGTGGAGGCCCAGCTGGGGTACCGGCGAGACAACGGGAATCCCTGGAAAAGGGTGACTTACCTTTGGCTCCAGCGGGGAGCTCGGGGAGGCCATTCTCTCCAGAGAAGAGCGGCGGCCACACGGAAAGGCTCTGGTGAGGCCTAGCCAACTGCTGGAAATTAGGCCCAAACAAGACGAGTTTCCCTGGCTGGGTCCGGCCAGGCCAGGTCCTGCTTCGGTCCCCGAGCGGTCACGTCCCCAGCGGCATATCAGACTCTCTCCCTGGCTGTCCCCCAACCTCGAATCCCCTCCCCTGCCAGGCTGCTCAGTCTTTCAGATCTCGATAGAGCCTCCTCTCGGTTGTCAATTCCTATGCCTTACAGCCAAGCAGCTCTGTGACCGTCCGCCCCCGGACCAGAAGGCGTCACCCGGAACCTTCCCGGGACGCCCCGCAACTACAACTCCCATCATGCTCCGAGACTCGTCGCGGCCCAGCCTCCTACTCCCACGCTACCTGACTACATTTCCCGGCGTGCAAAAGGAGAGGGCAACGACGGGGTGGGAGGGGGAAGGAAACACCTGCCACTAAGCTTTCATCCGATTGGCTGGTCTGTGTGCGTCAGTTCGGTTGAGAGAAGAATTTAGGTCACCAGCACTTTTCGAAAATGGCGATGATGTGTGTGTCCGGCATTGCTAGAAGAGGCTTGGCGTGGATAGCCTTAGGGACGAAGCGCAGAGAATTTTGGTCTCGACCCAGGTAAAACTGAAGTTTGGACGGTGGGTGGCGTTTATGAAAAGTAAGGAAAGAAACCGAGGAGAATTAGGGGACGAGTTCAGAAGGCAGTGCCATGCCATTAAGACGGGACCCTGTTCTGAGCCGCATCAGAGTGAGAACAAGAAGGGCGTTAGGATTCTGAGTTCAGAAGCTTCAGTGAAGGTCTCCGCGAGTGCTAGGCCCAGTCACTTCCCCTCTCTGTCTTGATTTTCCAATAACGGAAATTTCGTCCCTTTTCCCTTCCAACTCACTTATGAGTTAAGCAGAGTTTTAAGCGCGAGTGCCGGGCACCGAGTGTGGTGTCAGAAAACCAATGGCTCATTTGGAATATCCACTTCCACGCGAACGTGAAAGTCGGTATGTATCTAATGGAAATTAAACCCCACCTAAAACATGAACATGAAAGTACTTGGTAAACTAAAATCATATGTTGCTTCACAGATTCAGAAACGAAGTGCATGCTCCTGTTTTGTTCGTTTGTTGATTCATTGATGAATTCAATAAATAGTTATTAAATTCCTTTCCTGGGCCGGCATTTCTCTAAGCTTGTAGGATATAGCAGCAGAAGCAAATTTCCTTCTCCGCGCCAAAGCATTTGAGGTAGTCGAGGCCCACAAAGAGGAATTATTTTTCCCACAATCACAAATCAAATTAATGGCAGAGTTGGATCTAGAAACCTGGTCTCCTAACTGTCCCTCTGCTGTTTTTTCCTACTGCACCGTGTGGAATCCGCCGACGGTAAATCTGTTTGACCTACATCATGTTTAGGGCATCAAAATTTAAGGTGGTGCCCTCCATGGTGTCCAACTCCTGTAATTCCAGTGACTCAGGAGGCTGAGGAAGGAGGATTGCAAGTTGTCTGTTAATGGAGTCTTTGGAGTTTTCTACTTACAAGATTGTGTCATCTGCAAACAAAGGCAATTTTACTTCTTTTTGATTTGGATGTCGTCTATTTCTTTTTCTTCCCTAATAGCTCTTGGTAGGATTTCCAGTACTATGTTTAATATAAGTGGAAAGTACTATGTTAAAAAGAAGAGTAAGCATTCTTGCTTTGTACTAAAATCTTAGAGGGGGAAAAAAACCCTTATTTTTTCTATTGTTTATAATGTTAACTGTGGTCTTCTCTAAATGATGTCTTTTATGTCAGGGTAGGTTCCAACTAAATTTTTAGAGTTTTTATCATAGGACTATGTCAGATGGTTTTTCTGCATCTATTGAGAAGACCATGTGGTTTTATATTTTTCATTCTGTTAATGCGCTGTATCTAGTGATTTGAACATGTTGAACGAACTTTTCATTCTAGAGGTAAATCCTACTTTGTCATAGTGTAGTCTTTGATATGATGTTGAATTTGGTTTGTTAGCATTTTATTCTGATTTTTTTCATCTATATTCATAGAGGTATTGTCTTGTAGTCCCCCCCCCACACTTATACTTGTCTGGTAGTATCTTTGGTTGGCTTTCATATCTTATTTTCATAAAATAAATTTGGAAGCATTTTATATTTTAACTTTTGCAAAAGTTAAGAAGGGTTAGTAGTTGAACTTGGTGGCTCATGTCTATAATCCCAGTAACTCAGAGGATGAAACAGCGGAATCAAGTTTGAGCAACTTAGCAAGACCCTATCTAAAAATAAAAAGGGCTGAGGATGTATCTCAATGGTAGAGCAAACCTGGGCTCAACTCCTTGTAACAAAAAGAAGAAGGTAGGTACTAATTTTTCTTCTTTGAATATTTGGTAGAATTAACCCAGGAAGCCATCTGGCTCCAGGCTTTTTATTTGTTGGGAGTTTTTTGATTACTAGTTTAATCTCCTCATTGGTTTATTGGTCTGCTTAGGCTTTCAATTCTTTCTAGACTTAGTTTTGGTGGGTTGCATGTTTCTAGGAACATATACATTTCTTCTGGATTATCCACTTTGTTAACATGTAATTGTTTATAATGGTCCCATATGATACTTTCTGTTTCTGAGGCGTCTATTATCATATCTCCTCTTAAATTTTTGATTTTACATAGGTGAGTCTTCTCTCTCTGGCCTTGTCTCTCTCTCTTTTTCCATTAGTAAGGGTTTTTCAGGTTTTGTATTTTCAAAACACTAACTCTTAGTTTCTTGTTAATGTTAGGTTGTTTGAAATCTTTTTTAATATTGGCATTTATTGCTGTAAACTTCTGTCTTAGTAGTACTTTTTTGCGGCTTATAACTTTTGTTGTGTCATGTTTCATTTTCATTTATTTTGAGAGTTAAAAAAAATTCTTATTGATTTACTCATTGACCCACTGGTTGTTCAGGAGTATCTTGCTCACTTTCCACAAATTTGTGGAATTTTTGTTTGCTGATTTCTAGTTTTATTCAGTTGTGGTCAGAAAGGATAGTTGGTATTTTGATCTTAAATTTGTTGAGACTTTGTGACCTAACAGAATGAAAATTTTAAAACCACATGATCTTCTCAATAGATGCAGAAAATCCATCTGACATAGTTCTAACATTCATTTATGATAAAAGCTCTAATACTAAATAATGTTCTGTGTGTAATTGAGCAAAATGTGTACTTTTCTGGTGTTAAATAGAAAGTTTGGCATGTGTCTGTAGATCTATTTGGCATATAGTATTATTCAGGTTTTTTCTTTATTGATTTTCTGTATGGATGTTCTATCCATTATTGAAAGTAGGTTATTGAATTCTTCCATTGTTTTGTGGTCACTTTCTTTCAGGACTGCTAATATTTGCTTTATATACTTAGGTGCTCTAATGTTCAATGCATATAAGTTGTTGTATCTTCCTGTTGAATTGACCATTTTATCATTATATAATGACTTTATTTATCTATAAAGAAAGTTTTTGGCTTTAAGGTTAATTTTGTCTGATAGAAATATAGCCATGCCTGCTTTCTTTTGGTTTTCAGCTGTATAGAATATTTTTTTTCTATCCCTTCACTTTCAGACTGTATGTGTCCTTGAATCTAAAATGAGTTTCTTATAGAGAGCATATAGTTGGGTCTTGATTTTAAATCCATTTAGACACTTAGTCCTTTTAATTTTTTATTTTTTTGGCAATAAAATTTATGTTTTTACTTACATAAATACAAAGTTTTGTATTTGCAGAAAAGTTAGGAGATATTACAGAGACATCTATATAGTCAATTGTTTTTCCTACTAACAACTTATATAATTATTTTACTATTATTAATGAACCAATATTAATATTATTAGTGTATAGATTGCATATTTTATTCATATTTCTTTCAGTGCTACCTAATGTCCTTTTAGTCTTCTTGTAGTGACAGTTTCTCAGACTCTTCTTGTTTTTGATTATCTTCACTATGTCTTTTGATTGGGCTATTTAGTCCATTCACCTGAACTGCATTTCATTCTGGGTGTGATAATGTGTGGCCAGAGTGATTTAAGGACAATATGAGAGCTGAGAGGACAGAGACTAAGTATCGACAACTCTTTGAAAATTTTTGTTGAAAAGTTGAATGGTAGCTGGAGGACAATATGGAGTCTACGGTGAATTTTTTCTTTAAAAGTGTAGGATATTATATCATATTTTTTACTCTGGAATTACTTTAGTAGGGCCTTAGTTCATCTTCTGATGCTGAGAGTGGGTGGGTAATTGATGAAGAATAGAAGTTGATTTGAATCATGGTTCTGGATGCTGGCAAGTCATCATCAGCCCAGCAACTGGCAAGGGCCTTCTTGCTGCCTCATAACATGGCAGAGGGCATCACATGGCAAGACAAAGCAAGTGTCCTACCTTGGATCTCTCTTCTTTCATAAAGCTATTAATGTCATCATGGAATCCTCTACCCTCATGACCTCATCTAATCCTAATTACCTTCCAGTACCTTCCAAAGGTCCCCATATCCAAATATCATTAATATATGGGGATTCAGCGTTGGGAACTTCAGGGAACCTACTTTAAATAGAAAGTAGGTAGTGAGAGGTTGATGAACAATTATGTAGAAAGAGGGATTAGTTGCTGGAAGAAAGTCTTTTAAGTAGGCAAGGAGGAATTACATTAAAAACCACATTCTTGGCCAGACACCATTTTGTTTCTCGTGCTTCCATTTTCTGTGGGGATCAATCCCAATCAGATGCTAATTCCATGAGAATTAAATTCCCTAGGTAGTTCACAAACAAGTCTTACATTAAGCATGTAAATGGTATGTCAGGCACATTCACTTCCATTGACCTGTTTACTCAGTACTTATTTAAGTAGCTATTATGTTTCAAGGAACCCCCAAATCAATTAAATAGATAATCTATTGAGAAATTTATGATTTGATATGGTGATTCTCAACCAGGACAATGTTGCCACCTGGGGACACATGGCAGTATCTTTGGTTGTCATGACTGGGGGGCAAGGATACTACTAAAAATCCTACAATGAACAGGATTCATGTTCCCCCACCCGCAACAACAAAGAATTACCTAGTCCAAAATGTAAATATATTTGAGGCTGGGAAACCCTTAGAAAAGTAGAATATAAATAAAATTAAAACTTATTAGAGTGTGATATACTCTTGAGAGTAATATAAGATGCTGAGAAGATGAGAGGAACTTAATTCTATTTGGGAAAATCGAGTTAAAGTTTCTTAGAAGACAACAGTTTTGCCCCAGAACTTATATGATAAGTAAAATTTCTGCAAGTAAAGCATTTAGGAAGGGATATAACTTGAGCTAACACATGATTTTGAAAAGTCAGATTGTATTAAATTTGAGATTAATGGGAGGTAAGGTTAGAGAGGTAGATTGAGGTTAGATTTTCGAGGACTAGGAATCCCAGATAGAATGATTTACCTTACTTCTTTACCCATCCCTAGGAATTTTTACAGTATGTAAAAACATAGTTTTTGTTTTCTGTTTATGCCAACTCATTCACCTATAAGCATTCTTAGGGTAGGAACTTATTCTTTTGTGGTCTTCACCATGCCCAGAAAGTAGTAAGTATGCAAATTACTTGTTGAGTTTGATTGGTGAACAAGATTCAGTCAGGTATTTGTTAACTTCATTAATGCAGTGAACCAAAGATTCACATATTTGTTTTTGATCATTCCAGAAAAGAAAAAGAACCAGTGGAGACTGAGACGATAGAAGAAGTAAAAAAAGAGCCTATTCTAGTGTGTCCTCCCTTACGAAGCCGAACATACATACCTCCTGAAGATCTTCAGAGTCGTTTGGAATCTCATATGAAAGAAGTTTTTGGTTCATCCCTTCCTAGTAATTGGCAGGATATCTCCCTGGAAGATTGTCATATGAAGTTTAATCTCTTGGCACATTTGGCTGATGACTTGGGCCATGCAGTGCCTAACTCCAGGCTTCACCAGATGTGCAGGGTCAGAGATGTTCTTGATTTCTATAATGTCCCTGTTCAAGATCGATCTAAATTTGATGAACTTAATGCCAATGATTTGCCTCCCAATTTGAAAATCACTTGGAGTTACTGAGCAGTTCAGAAGATAAACACATGGAAGTCATTTTTGTTGCCCTGAGCAAAGGGGATATTTTAGACTTTTTGATACTTTACCTATCAGAACACTGCTCCAAATCTATTTTTTCCATAGAGGAATGCAATATCTCTTTTTTTCCTCTTATATCATGAATTGACAAAGAAATAGCAGGATTTTCTATTTTCACATTTGCTGAAACCATTCTCTTTTTTTTTTAAATGGAATCAGGTCATTAAGAATTTACGGACAGTTTCTTCAGAGGACCCTATAATGAGTTTAAGATTGGAGGTCATTACAAGTTCAGATGTGGTCTTTACCCTTCTTAGGCATAAAGCAATAGTTGCAAGAAGATGTTTTAATCCTATTAGGACTCTTAAATCTATGCTGTAATGATCATATGTAGAATATATAAGTAAGGAAACTTTTATTACATATAGAAAGTTGTTACTTTCACTCTTTCACTGCATGAGTAGAAACAAAATATACAGTGCATTCTGGATTAATCTTTTTTGGAATTAAAGTAGATTTCTTAAAGTGTGTTGTGTCTTTAAACTTTTTTAAGTGAAATTTGCTTTTTTTTTTTTTGCCTTATCATTCCCTTAAAATAAATATTATAACTTTGAAAAATTAGAACATGTGGCAACTATTATAAAGTGTTGTGACTTTTTAAAATAAGAGATATGCCAGATTCTATATTTAGTTGCATATTCTCTTTAGAGGAGATGATACTTATTTTAAACCTCTTATCTTTTCTGTAACTTTTAAAACTGGGCATTATAGTAAGAATCCACTAGTGTGGCAAATCTTTGCACTTTTATGTACTTAGTTTGTGGAAAATACTCAAATAGAAGATTCCCAGGTGGTTCTGAGTGACATAATTAAATGATTAGGAATTGTTTTCAGACTGTAGATAGGATTAAAGAAGATTGAGGCAAGAAGAAGAAATTTCTTGTATTGTTTTATTTTGACTAATGACAATTCTGAAAGAAAAGTGATAGAAAGGTTTTAAGCAAAGGAAATTGCATTTATTCTCTCCCTGAATGACTTCTTTGAAGAGGGAAATAATCAGTTGGGTATATAAATTTTAGTATATTCATTTGAAAAATTATTTTAACAGTATAGTGTCGTGCCTATAAAATCTCTGTAGCACTGGCACTATGGTTTTCAAGAACATCGAAAGTGTCATTGTCTGGACCCTGACATTAGACATTATAGCTGATATAATTGTGTCCTCTCTGCTTCAGATATATGTGAAAGAGGGATTCAGCATGGAAACATTTGAAATTTATATACAGGATTTGATTGTGTTTCCCATACAATGACATGATAGAAATAAGGGATTAGGAGATCAGTGGGGAGGCACTGTTGATTACAAATGGAGAAGTGTTTGCATAAACCAGAGTTCATGTTATTGTTAAGACAGAAAAAAATTACTCATTTGTAGTATGGAGCAGAGCTCAAAATTTCAATTGTATCTGAGTCATCTGGGAATCTTTTGAAAATGCAAATTATTATTTAGTAAAAGTGAACGTGTTGGGAGCTTTTGCATGTCTCCAAAGCTTATAGGAGCTGTGCATGGAGGTACAAGCTTGTAATTCCAGTGACTTGGGAGGCTGAAGCAGGAGGAGTACAAATTCAAGGTCAGCTTCAACAAGTTAGTGAGGCCCTCAGCAATTTAGACTTTGTCTTAGAATGAAAATTAAAAGGGCTGGGAATGTAGCTTAGTGGTAAGTCCCGGGTTTAATCCCTAGTACCAAAAAAGGAAAAGACTCATAGATGATGCTGATGATGTTTTGAATAACATGACTCTAGAGAAGACATTAGTATCATTCCTTGAAACAGTTCTGGTAAATTTAGCCATCCAGGAAGATAAGTTTCACATCTATCAGTATTTGTAGAGGGCATTACTGGTATATAGGTCAGTACAATGACTGTTCAAGAGTAATAGCCTTTAGTTTTCCTGGAAAGAAAAACATTTGCTACATTGTTTACTGAGTTAACCAAATATATATAATAGTTTTACATTTTAAAAAAATTATTGATTGCTATTTAAAAGAGCTATCAGTTCACTAATTTTAGAGAGTGTCAATAGAAATGATCTTACGTAAACTATTTCAAGTAGTGAAAAACTGCTTCCATTTAATTTTGACTTTGTTTTTTTTTTGATTATAGAAGTAGTGTGTTGTGAGCCATCCATGGGCTGTGTGTGTGAACTATGTGCATTTGAGCACATGAGGGGACTGGTTTGATGTTGCGTGCTGATTGGGCTGTGCAACGCAAGTGTACCTTTCTTCCCTCTCTGCATGTGGTCCCACACAACATCTGAGATGGGTGTGACTTGCCAAGATGTCAATGAGTCTACTGACCATAAGAAATCACCAAGCAAGATTCCACCTTTTGAAACCCCATCTCTTGCCTTATTTGGGTAGAATATTCTATTGAATGTCTTTTCCCCAATAAAAACGGGAGTTTCAGGTGTGCACTCACTTCTTCTCTCTTGCTTTTTCCAGCGCTGCCCAGTGTGCAGCTGACCCATGGGGACACAGAGCAGTCCCACCCTTGAAACACAGGTTTGTGTGTTTTGTAGTTTCTTCACCATTTTCTTAGTTATTGCTGCATCCAGCTCCTTTTAACCCAGCCTATTTTGTCAGCCTGGCCAGTTGGTGACAGTAGTGTATTTTTTTAGAAAATTGGGAAAAACAACAACAACAAAAAATTGTCACTGTCCTCTACTCAGATAATCATTTAACATTATGGCATATTTCCAAATGGAAAAATAAATATTTGTTAGGGTAGCTGGTGCAAATATCTACATGACACACACCTCTGAGTCAAGCAAAGGTTTATTGACAGAGAATATCTGCCAGGCTCTCCTGTAAGCTGTTGCAAAAAACTTCTTAACTATATAGTCATGTGCAATTAAGTAGTTAAGAAGTGACCCATCAGGTCCTTTGATTGTTACTTGGCATCTTTGTTGTGATTTTGATAGTCATGCCTGGGCAGGCTTCTTAAGATGGCAGGTGCTGATTTTCAAAGTGGAGGACCTAACTATTTCATGTATTTTATAATTCCTGTAGCATCATGTCCTTCACATTATGGGCTTTTCCCCTTAGCATTAAATAGTCTTTAAGAAAAAAAATTTTTTTTAAATATGTTAATAGCATATTATTTTATACTTGGATATTATCCAACCAATTGTCTATTATTACATATTTAAATTATCCTGATTTTTATTTTTTTATGGATTTTTTAAAATCTGGCTTTTCTAGCTTTTTAAGAATTGGTCTGCCATAAAATTTCTTTCTACTCAAAAGCTATTTCTTTACCTACTCAGAAATAGATACTAAATTTCTTGACCCTAACCTAGGCATGGACAACTTGATCCCTGGTTCTGTGACTCTTAATCCCATTAGCAAGTATTCTATGAATCCTAAAGTACAAGATAGTAGGTAGCTTAAAAATGCATGAACTTAGTCTTAGCCAAAATTACTTTCCTATCATTCATTTTTTCATTTGCTTATTTCACAGTACAAAAGTACTAGTTTTTACTTGAATGACTTGCAAATTTACAAGTAGTTTCTAACTTTGGATTCCACAGAATTCTGATGTAGAATTTTACAGAACTCGGCAGCTTTTTTCCATCATGAAATATCAAATTCAAAATATTTAATACTGATTAAACAGTAGTCAGACATCATCCACATTGAAATTTTACAATGTCCCAGTAATGACCTTTATAGCAATTTGTTACAGCTTAGATCTTAAATGTCCCCCAAAGGCCATGTATTGAATGCTTGGTTGCTAGCTTTTGGCACTGTTGGGAATTTGTGGAACCTTTAGGATGCAGGGACTAGTGTAAGAGAGTTAGGTCCACTGGAGGTGTGTGCTTGAAGGAGATGTTAGGAATCCAGTCCCTTCTCTGCTTCCTGGCTATTCCACTATATGATATTCTACCTCACCATAGGTTCATAAACAAAAGAGCCAACTGACCATGGACTCATACCTCTGAAACCATAAGCCAAAATAAAATCTTTTCCCCTTTTAAATTGATTATCTCAGTTATTTTGTGATATCAACGGAGAGCTAACAATTTTAACCCTGATCCAGGATTCAGTACTGGTTCATTTATTTGTTCATTAATAACCAATTCATTAGTTATGCTATTTTATCTCCTTTCCTTTGAAACAGTTTTTCAATGAAATTTTTTCAAGTACTGTATTTATCTAAATTAACATGAAGGTGTCATAGTAGTCTTTAACTTCCTATTGATGTCTATTGGAGCACTGAAGATAAGCTCTCTTTCATTTTGTGTATTTGTTATTTGTCTACGGTCTTGTTTTTTTTGGATTATTCCAGTTTAGAGTTTGCTAATTGTCTTTTCAAAGAACAAAACTTTGTCTTGTTTTCTTTCTACTGTTTATTTTCTGTTTCATTAATGATGCTTTTATTATTTTCTGCTTCCTTTGAATTTATTGTGCTCTTCATTTTCTAGTATTTGGAGGTAATGTGTTAGGCCATTGATTTTAGACTTTTATAATTCTCAAATATAGGCCATTAAAATTACAAACTTCCCCTTTTCAGCTTTAGTTTTATCCTGACTTTTTATATTGTATCATTTTCATTTATTTTGATATATTTTATAATTTCCAGTGTGATTTCTTCTGTGACCCATGGATTATTAGAACATGTTTAATTTTCAAACATTAGAGGATTTTCTAGGCATTTTATTGTTATTTCAGATGTCATTGTGGTTAAAAGATATGCTGAATGATTTCAACATTTTACTTTCATTCAGATTCATTTTATGGCCCAACTTATGACATGTCTTATTGTATTACTACCTGTGCTTGAAGGTGTTGGGTTTACTGTTCTGTGAATAGCAAGCAATTAGGTCAAGATTGTTGCTAGTATTATTTAAATATATGCCTTTAATGAATTTTGTCAAGTTATTTTATCAGTTACTGAAAAAGATATGCTAAAAATTTTAGCTAATTGCTTGAAAAATTGTCTGTTACTTTAATTTTGTTAGTTTTTTGGTTCATGTATTTGAATCCATTACAAGATCTTAAGATTTTTTTTTATCATCTTGTCACATGAAATTTTAATATTTATGATCATATCATTATCTTTTGTCTCTAAAAAAGTCCACTTGGTCTTGAAATCTACTTACTCTGACATTAGTATTGCCACTTTAGAGGGTTTGTGAATCTGTGTCTCTATGTGTGTGTGTGTGAGAGTGTGTTGTGCGGGGGTCTGGTTTTTTTTGTTTTTTGTTTTGTGTTGTATATTTTTTTTCTCGCATTTTTCTCTTTTTTTTTTCTCTATTTTTATATTTTGTTATAGTGTGTTTTTGTGTGTTCTTTTTTTTGGCTGCTTTTGTTTAAAGATTTATCCCAAAAGTATGCTGTATAGTTTCATTTGAGTACATATAATTTTGTAAGATTCAATTGCATGTATTCATTTATGACTCTTCTAAGCTCATGTTTGTAAGATTCATCAAGATTGTTGTTTATACTTGTGATTCTTTTCATTACTTATATTATTCTACTGTATAAATTTGCCACAATTCATTCATTTTATTGCTTATAGATATTTGTTTCCAGTTTGTTAATATCTTGAAAAACGCTGTTATGAACATTATTGTACGTATTTCATGGTGTGTTATCAAACACATTTCTGCTGAGTTTATCTATAGAGAGAATTGCTGGACTATTTATTAGATAATGCCAAATTGCTTTCAAAGTGAAAGTACCTATGTATATTCCCCTAGCAGGTTTGAGTCTTGGTGATTTATTTCCTAATCCTTATTTTCAGAATTTTTAATTTTTGCTAATCCTATAGTTGTGAAATATATACCCCATGATTTTAATTTGTGGGTTTTTTTCCTGAAAACAATTGAGATTTAGATTTCTTTCCATACTTATATATTTGTTTCCTCTTTTGTAAAGTGCCCTTTTCAGTCTTTTTTTTTTTTCCCCCATATAATATGTATCAAGGGCATAGACTCCTCACTTTCACCTACAAATGTCTGGTTATTGGCTAAAAGCAGGAATAAAGATTTGGTATCTCTGCTTGCATTTTGCATCCAACTCTTTTCCTCTAAGTCACCTTGGATTCCAGGAACAAGGTCTGATTCTATAACCATCTTATGATGAGTTGAAGTTACCCTCCAGGCAACAGTAACTTTTTTAATTGAGAACAAGGCCTTGTCTGACCAATCCTGAGGTAGTGATGGACTAGGCCATACCTAGTCAAGATCACATGCTTTTGGCCACTTTGAAAAGCACCCAACTATACAAATCCTAACCCTTGCCTTGTCTTAATTCCTCTTTCTAGGAAACCTCAAAATCACTGACAGACCTTGGAAGTTAAATTTCTTTTCATGCTTTTCACCTTTCCTGTTTGGCTTTTGGGCAAGTGGCTGAATCTGATTTGTTGGATTCCCAGAGTGAGGCCTTTACCCTAAGACACCAGTAACAAATATTTGTTTGATATTTTTATAATTTTTTTGGGGGGGACATGTTTATATATTCTAGCTAATAATTCTTCACCAGTATTTTGTGTAGCATAATTTGGTTGCAAATTTGTAGCTTGTGTTTCCAGGTTTTTTAAAGGAATATTTGGCTGATTAGAAGTCCTTAAGTAGACAGGCACGGTGGTGCATGCCTTTAATCCCAGTGGCTTTGGAGGCTGAGGCAGGACTATTACAAGTTCAAAGCCATCCTCAGCAAAAGTGAGACACTAAGCAACTCAGTGAGACCCTGTCTCTAAATAAAATACAAAATAGGGATAGGGATATGGCTCAGTGACTGAGTGCCCCTGAGTTCAATCCCTGATACCCCCCCCCAAAAAAAAAGTACTTAAAGAAGTTAAATTTACTAATTGTTTCCTTTCAGTTTGTACTTTAAAAATGCGGTCCATCACCTCATATAAGACCCACTACTGTGTGTGTGTGTGTGTAGTTGTGGATTAACCTTTATTTTTATTTATTTATTTATATGTCGTGCTGAGGATTGAACCCAGTGCCTTACACATGCTAGGCCCTACCACTGAGCCACAACCCTAGCCCCAAGACCCAATACTTTAATGGAGTTTATCCTTATATTTTGTTGTTATTTCACTAGCTGCCTCAAAAGTCTCTGAATTAGATGAGGAAGGAGAAAGAACTTGGAAATTTGGTGTTCCCCAAATTCTGAAAGTTTTAATGAAGACTTAGAAAAAGTATTTTGCTCCCCATTACTGTGGCCACATTTGTAGTTCCCCGCTAGTATGGCCTTGGGAAAGAAAGTCTTTGCAAATTCAGAATTATTCAGTAGTTCTTTATTTGTAGAGGACAGGTATGCCCAAAGAATGTCAGTAGAGGTAAACTAACAAAAACTGTCTATAAAGAAAATTAATATGTGAATAAAATGTGGAGTCTATCCCTAAGACTAAGAGATTTCAAGAGAATATAAAAAGAAAAGAGGGCAAAGGGAGGGGGCTAGGTTCACTAAAGTTTAAAAATTAATAAGAAACTAGAATCAGGTGGTAGATAAGCTGATGATGTTAGCTCTTGCAAAACACAGTTGAG